GAGGGGCTGGACCCCGAAAGTCAGAAGAGAGGCCATTCCTTCCACCCTCGTGGGTCTCCATGGTCTGTCTTGGCCTCACCCTTTTTTGCCTGAGCCTTTATGACCTCCGAGTTCTACTCCAGCGACAGTCAGTGCCCAATTCCAGTTCCAGGGAGAGAGGCTCTGCTTGGCTCCTTGGGTCAGGTGTCTGATGTGGTCCCAGCTCTCCTGAGCCTTTATGACCTCCGAGTTCTACTCCAGCAACAGTCAGTGCCCAATTCCAATTCCAGGGAGAGAGGCTCTGCTTGGCTCCTTGGGTCAGGTGTCTGATGTGGTCCCAGCTCTCGCCTCACCAAGCACAGCCCCCAGGCTCACTCTCACAGTTGGCTGTGCTGAGGGCAGGTTCTTTTAGAAAGGGTTGGACTTGAATCAAGAGGTCACAGACTGGCCAGAGGACAGATTACCGCAGAATGCTGCAGCCCTGTTTTGCTTGGCCAGCACAGTGTTTTACAAGACCTGGAGCTGGAATGCTTTGAGGTGGGGCATGCTCTCTCCAGCTGACCACAGGCCTCACCACTCCCCATGTTTACCTCCACCCTCTTCACACACTCAAGTTGTCTGCCTGGCCCTGAGGCATTCAAAACTGTGATGCCTACACTTTTAAGAGTAATCTACTGGACTTCTCTAACACGGACATTTATCCTGTGTAGCCAGTATACCTGTGAGCTACAGCACCTTCCACCAGCCTTCCACCCGTCCCTCCTGCTCATGGCTGATCACTGCTGCTTCCCCATCCCCCAAAGACCTATTAACTGGTGTTAGCAGGAGTGGACCCATTGTTTAGAACAGGTCAGTGGGCAGTGAGAATAGGGAGGGGTGGTCTTATGAAGAGGGGCCATGGTGGAGGACCTTCAAAGGCAGTCAAGCCTCAGATCTAGACAAATTACATCTCAGAGAATGAAAGAGATTGTGTGATCTTAAAGCCACTGTAGTTGGTCTTTGAAGAACTGCAGAGCCTGGAAGAGGGATCAGCAAACTGGATCATAAACAGGCCAGTTTTCAATATGGGGAAAAAAACTATAGACCATTGTTTTGACCCTAATCTTTGCCAAAGGGATTGTCTAAAAATGGTTTGGGAGCAAATAAAGTTTATGAGGCTCAACTGAAGCAGCGGCAGTTCCCTGAGAGCGAGGCAGGACAATTTATCCCCATTTCCTTCTTTGACCAAGTCCCAAGTTTAATAGATTAGGATTCAACAGGCACAGTAAATCTAACTCTTAGCTGAGCATTGCTCATTGTCTCCTGTGCTTGTCTTGCAGCTAAATGGGTAAAATGTGGGCTAGAGCGGTGGTTCCCAAACCACTGATAAAATTTTCACTAGGATGCAACAAAATAAGAAAAAAATAATGTTATGTGGCTGTGTCACCCACTCACACACATGTGCACCATGGGGTTCTTGTTTCTGAAAATTCATTATTCAAGCCCCCACAGTGACCAAGGTGCAGATTCAAGCTCATCATAAAAGCAAATAACACCAAGTATTCTTTCAAAAGGAGGTCCTCAGGAAGTGATAAGCTTACAGACATGACACCAGCCCTGGGAGGGGACTGGATTAGATGCTCTGCCCCTGACTATTTCTGTCCCAGTCCCTATCTCTCTGATATCCTCCCCCCCACCCCCCACCATGGAGCAGTTCCCTGGGCAGTCAGCCCATTCCCAGCCCTCTGCTCCTGCCAAATTAACCTTGACTTAGAAGGGCTGTGCCTCCATCCTCAGGAACGGCAGGTGGGATGGTCAGCAGTAGGTGGAACCTTGGCCTCACAACCTCCATCTCCTCCCTCTTCTGGATATCTGGCCTGCCCAAGAGCCAGTCTTTTCTTTCCTCCTAGCACTGGCTTTCAGGTCAGAAGGTGCCAGGATCTTCCCAGTTTCAAATATTCTCTCCTGCCGTCACAGGAGGTGGTGCAGAGCCAAGCTGGAGCAGGTGCTGTCGCCTCTCCGCTTTCCCCTCACCATCAAGTGCTGTCAGCCCTGCTCTCTCCTGCTCCTCCCCGGGCAGGTGGACAAAACTCCCCACGAGCCTGAGAGCTCTGCCAGCCACAGGCTTCCTGGGTCACCAGTGTGGTCTAACACCCTTCAATCCAAACAACTGCTTTTCTCTAGAGCAGGTCCCACAAGCCAAGGTGGTGGTGGTGGCCCATTTCCTGCCCAAGGGACCCATGTTGAGGTAGAGGAGAGATGGGGCTGGGAGTGGCAGGGTCTAGCTTCTCTCTTACCCTCATCCTCATTCCTAAATTCTGGCTTTGGTGACATCAGCCACCATTGATTGAGCACTGACTCTGGCCAGGTGCTACACTAAGCCATCAACACAAATTGTCTTTCCTAATAGTCATACCAGCCCTGGGAGGCAGATGTCATCCTCGCATGGTACTGATGAGAAAACTGACTCAGAGGGATGACGATGATGCCAGGCCACCAGCTAGGAAGCGGGGAGCTGGGTGTGGGGCCTGGTCTACGTGGCTTGGAACAGCGTGCTCCTAACTCCCTGCCTCGCCCTGCTTCCTCGCCAGGCAAGTCACCACGGCAGAGGGCGCGGCGTTGGCAGGCAGGTTCGGGTGCCTGTTTTTCGAGGTCTCTGCCTGCCTGGACTTCGAGCACGTGCAGCATGTCTTCCACGAGGCAGTACGGGAGGCCCGGCGGGAGCTAGAGAGAAGCCCCCTAGCCCGGCCCCTCTTCATCTCTGAGGAGAGGACGCTGCCCCACCAGGCCCCGCTCACTGCCCGGCATGGGCTGGCAAGCTGCACCTTCAACACACTCTCCACTGTCAGCCTGAAGGAGATGCCCACCGTGGCCCAGGCCAAGCTGGTCACTGTGAAGTCATCCCGGGCCCAGAGCAAGCGCAAGGCACCCACCCTGACCCTACTGAAGGGCTTCAAGATCTTCTGAGGGCTCCTTGTCAGGAACCTCGGACTTGGTGGCAGAGTAGGGCAGAGAAACAGGGGCTGGTTTGTCAACACTGGTCTTGCCCTCTAATGGACAACTGACCCCACCTCCAGCACTGAGCAGTGTCCCTACACTCAATTCACTGTGTGAGCTGGACAGACAGGCAGGGATGCTGCTGTTGTTCCCTCCAGGCCTCAGTCTCCATGGTAACCACTGCATCTGTGACCCTGGAGGGAAACAGCCATTGTGACAATCCAGAGTCCTGGGGTCAGCCTTAAGCAGGAAGAAATTGCAGTGTCCATCCTGCTGCCATCACCCCTTCCTGCTCCAGCTACCGCTGGGCCAGCTGTGGCCCCTAGTGGATGGCTCTGGGTGGACAGCTCTGAGAGGCTCAGTCAATTTGTAGGCCTGAGAACAGCCCACGGGAGGGAGGTCCCTGAGGTCCTCGCGCCACCTGGTGGACGGGAAGGACAGGGCAGCTGTGGGTTTCCGAGGCCGGAGCCTGGCCCTCCTGTCCTCTTCTGCCCTTTTGTCCTTTTCTGCCCTAGGCAACAAACCCCACAGTTTATCCAAGGACAATCTAGTTAAAAAAAAAA